CCTTGCACTGTAAAAAATATCCGTATATTTAACAGTGATAAACAGTAAAATTGTGACAGGAAAAATCCGTAAACTATAAAATATTTTTAAACTGTAGATTTAATGTGAATTTCCCGTAAATAAATGAATCTGTGAAAACCAGTAATTTGTATATTGTTTCTCAGAAAAAAATACTTAACAATACCGTAATGCACTATTGCAGTGTTTTTTTAAATGGAAAATTTTCATAAAGTTTATAACGGTCAAACACTATGATTTTTACATTTATTTGTTGAAAAAATGTGGGTTTTAATTGTTGAATGCAAGTATGATTGTGTTGGTAATGAATGTATGCTATAATATGACATTGTGATTTTTTGAAATATTTTCACATAATAATGAATGAAATACCACTATTAAGAAATCAAAATCACTTTACACTGAATTCATTCTTGATTCACTCCACCTTCACACATTCGTCGTGTTAATAAGCAGTGTACAATGTATTAGAATATTTTTTTCCTCAAGTGTCATATTTGAGTAAAATTAAATCTTTACATGTCTTTATCAGTTCCCTTTTGTTTTGTGTTTTTTTAAAAAACAGCATATTCTTCTTCTTTATACTTGAAACAATCTTTTTTATTATCCCAAAAACTTAAAAATCTTGCTTGTTCTATTTATTTATTTATACTTAAATAATACTATATCTCTATTTTTATGGAAAATAGAACTGTATGAACTGTAACTGATTTTAAAAGTATCTCATCCAAAATCGTTTCCCTCCTGAAGTCTGGAGGAGCGTTTTTTCACATCAAGGCGCCTGAATTCAAACGGGCCAATCAGTGCACTGCATCAGGCTCCGGAGCGGGCAATTAACGTATTTGCACCTGCGCTCACTTTGGACTACGGCATCATCGTTTTCACCAAGTTTTTTTCTATTTTCTTGGATTTAACCTTCAGTCTTCAGTAAGAAAATTATATAAATTAGTTTATTTATGAACAGTATTGTGTTGCAGACAGCGAAGGCGCAAAGTTATGTTAGCTTTATCTCCAGGGCTAGCATTAACGTTAGCCACCTCAGACTAAAAAACAGCCTTCTAACGCCAGTAGTGGATGTTTCAGAGACGTGTGGATTAATGTAGGCCGTCTTATAAATGTAACTCCATTTTAAGGCTTTAGGTAAAGGCAGCTTGGATTTTCCAGCTTTTTATGATACCAGGCTAGAGCTGTAAGTTAGTTAACCTCACACCTCTGTTCTATGGAATATGTATTCTTGCTGCATATGTGGAGAATCGGTTCAGTCCGTGAAAGCTTATGTTTTTCATTGCAGACTGCATCGTAATGAACCCCGGTGTATTTTTAAATGTGTAGAAGTAAGCTGTAAGCAGGTGTTTTCTCAATATGCCGCTTTAAAGTCTCACTTCTACCGCCACCACAATAGTGCTGCAGCCGTCTCTCACGATACTTTCCTTATGGTATTGAATTGTACCGTTTCACTATGTGAACGCCAGTGTGAGGGAACTAAAGCTTTGATTGCTCACTTAAAGGAACACATAGATGAGGGACGACATGTGACTTGTCCAGTGAGAGGATGTCAAAGTGTGTTCTCCGTTAAATCTTCATTTACCTCCCATATGACTAGAAAACACAAATGTTTAGAAAATGTGATTTGGGGTTCAAAGAAAGATACTCGGTCAGAGAGTCCAACTACAAGTGCCACAATTCAGGAAGCTGCCAGTGTGTCAGATACAGAAAATCCTTGTATGTATGGACCTAATTTCAGTGACCTGTATCTCAGAAATGTATGCATGTTTTACATTAAACTACAGGGACAGCATCTTCTGCCAGCATCTACAAATCAAACAATTGTTGAAGAAATACAAAATATACATGAATTGGGACAGATGTATACACTAAATAGACTAAGCTCACTTCTAAAAGATATGTCAGTTTCAGATGAGGATGTTATAAAAATCTGTGACACAGTAAAACAATCTGACTTGTTCTCTGCTTGTCACACAGGACCTATGAGAACTGCTTACTCAAGAGTTCAGTACTTTAAAGATGTGTTTAAGTATGTTGAACCAAAAAAAGTATTCCTGGGCAGAGACGAGAACAGAACTGAGAGATTTGCTTATTATGTTCCTGTGCTAAATACTTTGAAGAATATACTGGAATCTAGTTTTTGGCAAGGTCTCATATCAGTGGATCCTGATGTTTCAAGATCAGATGTTCTCAAGGACTGTTGTGACGGAGATGTGTTTGTGTCTAGCACATTTTTTAAAGAAAATCCAAATTGTCTCAAGCTGGTTCTATACCAGGATGCATTTGAAGTAGTGAACCCACTTGGTTCTGCAAAAAAGAAGCACAAGGTTTTGGCTGTGTACTTCTCTCTACTCAACATTCCCCCCCATGCCCGGTCAAATGCTGATTATATGCAGCTAGTTTTACTGTGTAGGGAGAAGGATTTTAAGGAATTTGGCCATGACAAAGTTTTTTCAGAACTCCTGAACGATTTGAAAGTACTAGAGGAGAATGGCATAATGATGGCAGACAAAACTTTTGTGAAGGGAGCTCTCTACTGCATTGCTGGAGACAACCTGGGCTCTCATTGTATTGGGGGTTTTACAGAGAATTTCAGTTCATCCGTGTATTTATGCAGATATTGTCTGTTAACTCGAACTGAATTTCAGGGTGCTGATCCAGCAGTCTGTGGACCTCAGAGGACTCCAGAAACCTATAGGTCTGCCACAGAACAGCTGGAAAGAGAAGACGTGTCAGAAGTACAGGGGATAAAGTTCAGGTCTGTGTTTAATTCTTTACAAAACTTTGATGTTTGCACACCTGGCATGCCCCCATGTCTCGGTCATGACATTTTTGAGGGTGTCCTCTCATACGACCTTGCTCTTTACCTCAAAAATTTTGTCTGCACAAATAAATGGTTCACTTACACAGTTCTGAACAGGCGCATCAAGCAATTTAAATACAAAGGAACAGATACTTTATCCAAGCCTTGTGAGGTCAGTCCAAAAACATTAAAACTTAGTGGACAAGCTGTTCAAAATTGGAACTTCTTGAGACTTTTACCTCTCATAATTGGAGACAAAGTGCAGAACCCTCAAGATGATGTCTGGCAGTTAACGTTGCAGCTCAAGGACATCGTTGACTTAGTTTGTGCTCAGCAAATTTCCAAGGCCCAGGTTACTTATGTGGATGCTCTCATCCAAGAATATTTGGAAACCAGAAAGGCATTGTTTCCTAATACCAACTTAAAACCTAAACACCATTACTTGCGACATTATCCAGGGCTAATCCTAAAATTTGGCCCTCTCATCAGGCTTTGGACTATGCGCTTTGAGAGCAAACACAGTTACTTCAAAAGATGCACAAGGCATCTGAAAAATTTCAAAAACCTGTGCTTGACTCTTTCAGAGAGACATCAAATGTTCCAGGCCTTCCTTTCTGCTGGGTCAGTCAGTCCTCCAGCATTGCAAATAAAAGATGGCTCATCATTTTACTTGGAGCTTTACAGTGAGCAAATTAAAGATGCAGTCCTACATTTTGGTTTTACTGAAAGGAATACAAAGATTGCAGTTGATGTTCAGTACAATGGCCTTGCTTACAGGAAGGGCCAGTTTTTTGTCATGAAGTATGATGAGTCAGTGGAGTTTGGTGAACTTCTGCTGATTTTTGTTAAGGATGATTCAGCTCTTCATTTTCTCATGAGAGTTTATGATGCTGAATTTATTTCTTACTACCACATGTACTCAGTAAAAAAAGACACCGGCAGATTAGAGTGCAGACTCATCAGTGAACTGACTGACTTGTGGCCATTGCCATCTTATGTGAAAAACGGTTACCAGATTATTCCACTGAAGCACAGCATCTTGTCAGACTGAATGTCTTCATTTCATTGGACCAGAGACCAAACTCTTTGTGTGTCTTAACAGATATGGCTGAATCACAGCTGCTAAAGAGCATAGGGGATGCGATAGCAGGAGTGCTTCCGGACCTTCCTGATCAACTTGTTAAGTCCGTTGAAGATACTTTGAAAACACTTGGTGCGGCAACCACAGATGATTTAAAGTACATCACAGAAAACGATTTGCTGCCAGTGTTAAAGCCCATACAAGCCCGAAGACTGGTTGCTGCCTGGACCCAAAATAGTGAGTACAGAACAATGTCACCACACCACCCAATAGCACACTTGTTAACATGGTGTTAAGGTTAGAATATGAATTTTTATGAGTCTAATGATGATGTGATCATCATTATTTCCTGAATAAATAAATGTTGTTATGCAAGCATTACTCAATGTTTAATACTTTCATATCTTCTTTTTAGTCACCGGGACTTCAACACCAAAATCTGTGCATTCATCTCCAGCGGTTGTCTTTGCACCCTCAATTCCTTCTTCACCAGCGTCATCCACCTCTACATCATCTTCAGGAATCTGTACACCATTAATACCAAACTGCTTAGAGCGATTTGAAATACCATGGCAGAGGCTCCCTGAGGAGTTAATACAGAACTTGGAAAGACAGAAAAGACCTAGTGCAAGACAACGAAGAGAAATGGTAAGGATCGTGGTCTCTGAAATGATGAAGATTTGCAAGAATCCAACCAAACACAACATAACAGAAATAGCAAAAAGGATGGTGGCCAGGTATCCAAAGTCTCTGCAAGATGTGATTGATGGTGACGTTATTGGACCAGGATATCATTCTCTGGTGAAGCAACTTCAGGCAAGAGTTGAAAATGTCAAGCGACCTGACACACCAAAGGTTATAAAGCGCAAAGCAGCATCAGATGATGACACAGACGAAATACCTGCCGAACAAAAAGCAAGTGTTCAAGACACCTATGGATGTATTAGCTGGGAGCCAAAGCATTTGCCACTCTCGGAGACTGTGGAGAGTCAGCTTGAAAAAAAAGAAGAAATGAAGATGTTTAAAAAGAACTACAGTACAGATGTCGTGAAAGAACTAGTCAAGTGCACCTATAACACCCAGCGTAAAGACATCAACAAAGGGGCAAGCATCCAGAAACTATGCCAGGAATGGCCCTTTCTCTTCAATGAAGTTGGTATGCCAGCACATTTCCAAGAGCTGACTGGTGTGAATCTGATGGAAACCTTCCTTGCCAATGTAGACAAAAAAGGGGCACGTCTGTTAAAGTTCCTGAGATATGTTGATGCACAAAAAAGCAAACGAGTCCTGAACACTCTTCTCAAGCTTCAGACTGAAAGAGGTCAGCCCAGTGGTTGCTCCCAAGAAGTCACTGAGATGCTGCTTCTTTTACTGGCTCATTTTGATGAGAAGGAAGAGCCTCTGTTCCACTGTGTTGAGACGACAAGCCTTGCAGAGGATGTTCAGATGGAGAAAGTGCCACCAACACCCTTCATTATTGTTTGTGGTAAGTAAATAGAGCAAAATTCAACTATTTTTTCAGATGTAACTGCAATGTTATTGTACTCTTGGCTTGTTTAGTTTTGTTATATCATTTCCCACAATTTGTATAACATTTTATGTAGTCCAGAGGACTTTACTACATTCAGTCATTTATTCATTCTCACACACATTCGCTAGCTTACGTACTGAAACACTGGCTAACACAACCTCAGAAGCTCAGCCAGTAAGATGATTCATCCTATGATGTATGTAACTGTTGAAGATGGATTCTGCCTTAATTGGTAATAAAAAAAGAACTAAATACATGGCTTGATTAATTATTGTGCCAAATATAGCATCCAAAAAAAAGCTTTACCAACTTATTTTATTATACATTGACATAGATCAATATTTATCATTTTCAGTTTTAATTTAAAATTAGCACTATTTAATTTTCCCTTTTATTTCCAATCTTATTGTTATAATTACTTTCCTTTTTATGTAATATTTTTATTTGGCACATTAATTACTTTTATCAAGCCATTTATTTGTTTACTACCAATATTGGCAGGGTCCATCCTCCAATTTGTTTGAATTATTATTTTTTTATTATTAATCCCAGGTTCCTCGTGCTTCGCTGCTGAGACATTCATGTTGAGCATCGACAAGAAGATTGTCAACGACCACATCACAACCTTCACCTCCGCCATCTGCCTAATGTTTGGCAGTTATTACTGCTTTAACATACACTACCCAGTGGAACTACGATCAACACTGGAGTTCCTCCAACGGTAAAATTTCTGTTTTTATGGACACTTTTTTTTGGATTTATCAAACGTATCAATCTGATATCCCATCTCAGGTTAATTTTCTCAATCTTTCTCTCACACTTTTTTTTCCATAAAGGTGTTTCTTTTCCATAAATCCTGAGAGAGGCACCAAGGTTGAATCCAAGAAGAAAAAAGTGTTCTCAGTCAATCCCAGAGTCCTCACTCTCATCACAGACATTGCTGACCATGAGTGGATCTAGTACTACCCCTCTTGTTGTGGACAATGTGATAAAGGTGTGTTACAGACTCTACAGATGTTTTTGTTGTTGAAACAGTTGTTACACCTCTGAATGTCAGTGAAAAGTTAACAATTTGGAGTATCACTAAACAAGATTTGTTAAAGTACCTGTTCATTTTTTTTGCTTGTTAGTTCCAGGAGTTTTAGATTATAATTTTCCTACAGTAATTGTGCATTCTAATGATGTAAAAAGGTGGCTGCATGTACATCACTAGCTAGCATTTTGTAAATCAAAAACTTCTGTAAAGTTCTCAAGTGTAAAGTTTTTTTTGTTTCCCTTTTTTTCAATTACATGATGCAGCTTAAAGATGCAGTTTCAGCTTTACTGCACAGTTCTGTGCATAAAATAAGTCAAAGTAATTTATTTTCCTGGAATTTCTTGAATTCAGATTTTATTGAAATAGAAAAAGTTTATTTTCTTATAACTGCATTTGCATATTTTAAAATATGGAACATTTATCTTGTTTTAACATTTTTGTAGTGCAAACAGCACTACAAAGTTCTCAAAGTTACGGTAAAGGTGTTTGCAAATTGTCTGCCACGGTTGATGTAAAATGTATGCTCAAACACTGGTTTTGCACAATTTGAAGAGAAGTCATTGAGACAGTCCTTGGTGATTTGAGTGAAATGTTTAATATTTGATGTTCACAACTTCATAGATGGTAAATAAAATATTTCATTTGAAATATAAGGTGGACATTTGTGTTGCGTTTTTAAATTTTAATAAATTAATGCTTTGTGCATTAAGCTTACAGAATAGACCGATTAAAAGAACTCCTTCTGAAAAAGGTAACTACTAAGCAGGCTTAATAATTTACTTGGACTTAAAAATTATTTGTATGCATGAAATGAAATAACCAGCAAAAGGTGATCATATTTCATATATTCCATTAGGGAAAACCTTTGTTAGCTCATAAAAGTTTTCCATGTTATCTCTAAATTATTATTAATCATAATTATTAAATAGGGGAAACTGCAAAGCATTTTTTTTATAAATTCTGGGAATTTTTACAAAATAAAGTATTGTATTTTATCATTTTTGATAGTTAATTTTACAAGGAATAGATATTGTTTTTTGTGGCACAAATGTAATTTTATAGGTTGTTTTCTTGTTCATTTTAAGGAAAAACATTGTTTTTTCCTTAAGTTAAAACTTTTTCTTTTACAGTAAAACATTGACTCCAGCACCAGATTTAGCTGTAGAAACAACAATGACAATGCCTGCCAACCGTAAAAGAAAAAAATGTTTTACCCGTCATTTTACGGTGGAATTCTGGCAACCCCAGCTGCCAGCGTTTTACCGTAGAATCTACATTTTTTTTTTNATAAATGTATCCAAACAATGTGTCCTGCCCCGATCGTCCGCTCCTTCCTCGTGCCACGCCCCCTCGTTAACCCCGTGTGGAATCCTCCTGTGATCAGCTGTTTCTGGCTGTTGTCAGTAGTCCTCTGTATTTTGTCCGCGTTTCAGTTTGTTTCCCCAGTCGGGTTATTGTATTGTCCGTCTGCGTTTTGCCTGCCTTACCTGTAATTAAACCCCGTATCCCCCGATACCCTGACGTCTGCGCCTTTGTCTCCGTTCCGTCCCCTCTCCGCACAACAATATTATTATAATTAAACGTATTAATGGTTTATTATTAATATTTAAATAATGAATAAGAAATCTTTATTTTTAAATGCATTTTATTATATAATAATTATTTTTACTGTCTATCATTGTCTAAATGTATTTTTACTGTCTAAATATATGCATTCAGCTAGTGTAAACATGCAGGATAATATCACAGCGAATGCGAGGCTGAGACTGAAGCATTACCCTTTGTTTCCGCTGAGAGACGTGCTGCGCGACTTTATCTTACGTCGGCGTTCACGGTTTGACTTCTGAGATTCAGATCGAGCTCTAGGTAATTTTTTTCGAATTGGTTGGTTCGACTTTTAAGAAATTCGAGTTCTAATGAGTTCGAGAACTGAGGTACCACTGTATAGTTTTAAGACGGATTTCAGGTTATCACATAAACCCCATCGGAGCTTTTACAAGCAATGGATGGATAGATGGATGGATGGAAATACTACAGCCAATTTACACATGACATAGGCTATGTTATACAGTAGGATGGAAAGTTTTATTTGGCATGTGAATTGAAACAGGCTTTTTAGGATACAGGCCTAAAATAGTACTGCTTTCCTGCACTCTGGGCACCTCACAGACCCCTCCAGTCTTTGATCTTGTCTGCTTGTGAGCTGATTCGTAGTCTAGAAGAAGTAAATCACAGCTTCATTGGCAAATGCGTCTCTGCTACAGCGTCACAACATCTAAAGCGAGATCTGATTACAGCGGCTGGATGGAAGGCGGTGATATTAAGTAGCAGCCTGTCAGCAAGGGATGAGTCAGAGTCTTACTATGTTGGCCTGTACAGAAAGGATTTCAGCTCCATCAAAGGCTTCACAAATGCGGAACAACTGCTGCTAAACCACAGGTCATCACAGAATCTGTAAATCAAAAGAGCACATTCGAGCCCACAGGATACAGTTTCACCTAATGAAAAAATTGTATTAAGTCTTTGAGTTTTAAATATTGTGCATAGTCTTAATGTTCAATTATGTGGTAAGAGTAGTATAAGCAAATTTGAAATTATCCCATCATGCACTGTCTGCGAAAGATAATGAAATTCAGTAGGAGCATGTTGACAGATATCTGTTATTCAATTACATGAATGAACCTCAATGATGTTTGGCTCATTTTGATCATTTGAACTCATTTCCTCGGCCATAAGCCACAGGAGCTGCAGATAAGACGCTGCCTTGTGTGTCTCTGGAGATCCTTCATAGAACCTGGACTTTGAAGGCACTGGCTTTCAAGTTGGCCTAAGGAGACACCGACCCAAGGTCAAGGCAGGTAATGAAATGCTACAACGCAATGGAAGAGTATTAGTGTGGCTGCTTTGTGCGTGAGAGAGGCTCCATCCCCTACCTTAGACAGCCTTCCTGGAGAAATTCTTCCAGAACTTTCACTTCCTGCTACATCACTTTACCATCACTTTTCACTATGCTGCATTTATTTTACCTGAAAATCCCATTTTTAGACCATGGCTTGAGCCACCCCTAACAAACTCTCATTATCTAACTTTTGAGACTTCTGAGAATTCAGGCTAAGAGTCCCGATTTAGCCTGGTGTGTTAGCAGAGACCTTCAGAATAAGGTCCATCAGTAATATTGATAATGCTGAGGTAATAATGAAATAGCATACTGCTTTGTGTAAGGATCTGTCCCTACCAAGTCTGTCATGTCCCCTTTTGGCCAACAGATGTCGCTTTCTATCCTGTTTCCTTCCCTATTTCCATTCCTAATGTGTCATTAATCAGTTCATTGTTCACACCTGTTCCTTGTACTACAGCATCGCCTGGTGTGTGTGTGTGTGTGTGTGTGTGTGTGTATATATATATATATATATATATATATATATATATATATAGCCTTTGTTCAGTCCCAACCCTTGTAGTCCTTGTCTAGCCCACCTGCCTCTGTTTCGCCTCTGTTTTG